TGATAAATTTGTAATAACTAAAAGAAATGATTTTGAATGTCCCCATGAATTAACAAACTACTGATTCGAAGACTTCTAATCCACAAGGGAAGCAAAAACTAGATGACAAGCAGTCGTTGATAAATGTCTTCAGCCTGCTTGGAGTGCTTTCCATGAAACTCCAAGTCTCTGATTCATATAGAGGAACTGACTTAATATTTGTGTTGAAAATCTGAATCTTGGTTTTGGTTCTGAGTGCAGAAGATTCCCAAACTGACTTCAGAGTGTTGACACGCTTTTCCCACCCTGCCTTTCACGTCCCCACCCATACCACCAGTAAGTGGAATGATGCTGTCTAGATAAGTGGAAAAGTGACTTCCTTCAAACTCCTTCCGCCCGTAGTGACTGGTGTTTCTTGTTGTTGCTGTTGGTGGTGGTGGTGGTAAGTTACATTCATCACTTCTGCCTTCTCTATATTCACTCGAATTCATTTCTTCTCTGCCAGCCTCTTCAGACATTTTGTTGGTTTTCGCCTGCAAGTCAACGAGTCTGTGTGACATTGAACATAAATCGTCCACGAAGTCCACATTATCTAGAGTCATCTCATCGCTCCAACGTAATTGTGTCTTCTCGTCCCCCAAGGTCTCCCACATGTCCAATCTACAACAGTCTGAAATATCATTGGTGATAAAGTAAGCAACTTTGTCTTACTTCTGCATTCTCTTTAAAAGCTTCGCTATGATATTTCGTTATGGATTACTTGCAACATGGCATCGTCACGTAGCTGCTGGATGAGGTTTTCAAGTTACGTTAAGGTAGAGATTCGACTGCTACTCCATTCTGTTCTTGATAATGGTGTGTAGCCTTACAACTCGCTAGAAACATGGTTCGCTTCACTGAGACCAGCTTGCTTCCGGCAGAGTTCTGCGTCCAGACCAACTTTGAGTCTCTACAGGATGATGCGATTTAACATTCCACATGTGGTGGGCAGGAGCATGATTCCACGACATTCTTTGCAAAGACCTGAGTCGCACTTCTTTGGCAGTTTGTCAAGATGACCTTTCTTCCAGTCAGTGGGTACCATTCCTTCCTTCCGAACTTACTGTAGTAGTGGTGTGAGCATGTCTGCTGCGATCTCTGGATCCCTTTACAGTACTTTTAGATGAATTCTGCTTGGTCGCACTGCCTTCTCCGCTTTCGAGACATATGCTTCTGTCAGAGGATTGGTGTTCATCGCCAGTTCTGCGACTGTTGGTAGTATTTCTGGAGATGTTGCAGGTGATTTTCGTTTGAGGAATCCTTTGTTTCTGTCGCCTCTCCTGTCGGGTAATTAGTCCCCTTTCACTATCTTTCATTGGTGTCATCTAAGTTGATCTCTTCCCAGACACCTCCACCTGATTATCTGATATAGTGATTTGAGGTTCCTCTTACATGCAGCCAGTTCTGCTCCAGTTCCCATGGTGTCATGGAGTTGTCCTTTGTCTTTCTTAGCACTTCTCTTCACTTCTTTGCTCAGCGCGAGTTTTATTGTGCCTTAATTCCGAAAAGTTGCTCATAGTCGCTGCTAAGGTCCCTCTAGTGGTGATCACTTCAGTTTATCAGAATAATCAGATTCAACACAACCAGCGATCAGATTGATCGCCCTCTGACCAGCCGCTATTTTCTAACTCCAACTCTATTGAAAATTCCTCTGAATGCTTGCCTAGCACTATAATGGAAGTAATACCAAATACGCTTGAGTGCATAACATTACTCAAGAGCTTCAATAGATAGTTAAACAGCGAGATGGGGTGCATTTGACCGATCACAGTGTGTCAGCGGAAGAATGCTCACCACTATGCAAATGGTCTGAGTTTGATTCCTGACAGAGGCATTCATAAATCCCTCTCAGAATTTGAATCTACAGTAGGCATAGAAGACAGTGGAAGTCGAGCGTAAGGTCGGCTGTACAAAACACCATTTCATGGTTCAAACTCGAAGTTCCGTCTTCCATTCAGAGAGCAAATGAAATAAAACTAGTTGCCCTGTTAAGCTTGACGGAAGATTCGGTAGAACAGTAAAGCCAAACGTCTGGTGATAATCTGAGAAGGGATAGCACGGCGCGTGTTGGCGAAGTGTTGATGCAATTGTTTCGTGTTGTTGTCGCTCTTCGAGATACGCTGAGACTGAAATGGGGACACCGAGTTGGATGCACAAACGCCGATCACAAATACCGCTGGACAACGCCATCAGCATCAGACGACACCTATATGTTCGCCGGCTCACTCTACTTAGGTGAGAGCATACAACTGGGTGAGGCGGAAAGTATATTTCAGTACCAGCCACAGAATATTTCACAAGATAATGTATGACCAATTCAAGTATTCAACTATTGGTAACCAATGTATCGATTAGTCAACTATCATGATCAGTAAAATAGTCGACAATATTTCACATAGGCTGATTCTGACTGGTATATTCCCAGACTGATCTTGATCCCCCTGTCATCGATGATGGACAATCCACTGCTTATCTGCCTACAAATCAGTTAGCAAAGACCGTCATTTGCAGTCAGAGCCTATTATTTCAACCGATTTTCAGAGGAGTTAGTTAAGACGCTTCCTCCACATGGTCGCCTCTCCCATTGTCTCAGGACACTAGTACACGAACGCTATGCAACCGACCTGCAAACAAACAACTATACAATTTTAAAGGGACAAAACCACCTACACATCCCTCCTCGGGTTGCTTTGCAGCCCAACGATTTTATGCAGGTTTATCTCGCCTTAATTAACAAGGCCCATGCAAAACAACGGAAATTTCTGATTATTTTAAGGTTCGAAAATGTCGTGCAGACTGGAGTTCTGATGGTGAGCTCTCAAGTGTCATCATGAACTTTCCCAACCCGCAGGTATTTTCAGGAGCCCTGATTGCAGAGAATGCTGGGCCTTCGAGGTGCCTACAATAAAGCAGTGGTCGAATGTCTGTTTAAATGTTTGGCACTTATATATTTAGCGATCAGAACCATACTGTGATGATTGCCTGAGCAGCTAGGGATCGTGCACAAACGGACGGGCTGAAGACAACTGATTTCCAGATAACTTAGGTGCTCAACCGCGAGCCTTCAGCTTATCAAGCCGACCTAATTAGTGAGGACCAGCACACAATGTCTAGTGAAGAATGCTGTGGACTAGTAATTTTCGGGAATTATTCACGGCTACAGACTGAAATGTGAGGCATTGAGAGAAACAGGTGATTCCAGTACTGGTGAAAAGACATTTGAATTGGTTAGTGGTCTTATTCGGAAATGCTTCTATGAAATGTACATGGATTGACAAAATGAAAACTGTTTGCGATGGGAAAACGCCCACAGCTCCAAATAGTGCAAAATCCTCAAAACGCTGCTGGAACCAGTATTGCAATATTCCTAGTAAGACGTCTAGATGTGACCTATAGGTAAACTAGTGACCTATGCCACTTCTCCTGCGCAGAAGGGTTTGTATAACTCCCTCACCTCCATTAGGTGACAGAATTTATAGCTAAATATCGTAGAACCAGACACTGGAGCAAGGCTTTGATTCGTCAGTCAAGGATAGTATACGAATCACAGAACTCACTAGGCATTTTCGATAAGATTTTCTCGGATTTCAGACAAGAACTGTAAAAAGTAATGCTATCCTCTCTCCTCTTTATGATGAGGATACAACATTTATAGCTAACGATAATCTTACAGAGGCCGAGGCCTTATCAATTCGGTCCAGAGGGTTATTCTCTGAGAACAGTGACGTGCCATTGATAGAACGACCTGGAGGCGACCTGGAGTCAACATAAATGTGGCCATGACAACGATATTGACAAGATACTATATCATACACTTCTCGACTTGTACTCGGGTTTTAGCAATCTAAAACATAATGTTAAATTTACGACAATGCTTAATTACTTTATTAAGTTTGGAGAAACTGTGGTCTGTGAACTAAACGTATTCGTCCAAGAATATTCATTGGTAGGCTGTTGCTTATTAATGTCAGCTCACAAAATCAATATTGATGACAGCTTAACAACTATTTCAGTCAACTCTAATTCAAGTTTATTAAAGGTGATCGAAGCACTTTGGTTTAATCACATACATCCTGAACTATGTACGCATAGTCCGAAAAAAAACAATAGACTTCAACCTCCACCTACCATGGACTACTTGACCCATTTAAATATGATTAGTCCTTAGTATGTACTTTTGTTTAATGTAACTGAATAAGTGTCAGGCATTTCATTTTATTATTGTGAACGACGCTATTTGTGAGGCGACTATAGAGAAACTACAAAATAATATCATCTCGAGAAATTTGTCTTCTAATTACCGTATTCAAATGCTGATAATTGTTTAGAATGCAGTTTGTATACATTAAACTTGCAAGTTCTTGTTTATTTCCCTGTTCGGGAATACTTTTTGAGTGTCCATTATACACTGCTGCACTTGGAAGTACTCTGAGTGTATAGCATTAGTCTTCACAGACTGCTACAAGTCAAATCAAGTATTATTCAATCACTTCAATCTCCATTCTCCGTAGTATACATGCTTCAGTAAGAAGACTTTATTTCATCTCCTTACTGAAGCATGTCAGTGTAATCGGAAATAACATAGAAAGGACACTCACTGACTGACATTGAACACCATAGTCTAGGTAGCAGGTGATGTTATCATGCTGGTGTTTCTTTGTGAGAATTGTTGTTATGTTGATTATCGAAGCGTTACATCTAGTCAGAGGTGTTTGTAAAGTGTTTAGACAGTGCTTTCAACGTCATTTTAAGTCTTCTTTCTCATTGCTATGTGTATCATTCATGCTATCGGTGATATTCTCTCCGAATAATGCATGATTAAACAGATCAGTGATTATTCATGAAGATCTTGATCGGGATATCTTTGTTTACTTCTTTTCATGTTATAGGTGAAGAAGTTTCTCAATTATGGGAAGAGAACAATTTTTACACCTATGAATTTTTCCTACTGTCATGCGAAGGAGTGTGATGTCATTAATGAAATGGAAAGATGGCGAGAAGCTGATGGATTAATACTTACAGAAGATAAACTGCCAGATGGCGTACGTCCACCAGGACAATTATGGTTTACACTTATACATGAATCTCCTGTGCATATCGCAATCGCAAACTCTCTGAAGAATGAGGTTAGAAATAGTAATCTCTGCGATTATTATTATTATTTCAATATTTACTGTGAAATAAACTGCTGAATATAGAGAGATGAGAAACTGTGACCGAGCGCAGAAAGTTGTAGAGCATGTCTGACTTGAACATAGCCGAAATTTAATTCCCTCACCTTGTTGCTTGTATTACACATCCAGGAAGATGTGTTTTCAGTCAACACTTTCTTCTAAAGTGTTTCTCGAGTCATGGGGAAACACATTTTAAACCCGAATAAATGCAGTGTCTGAATGCACTCCTGTTGCTGATTAAATTCACAGTGTTTGTTGAATAACAGACACCATGATATTTTCAGACACATTTTAATGTAAATTTATAACTGACAACACACACAACTCGTTCTTTTATTTTCAGTGGTTAGTTCATAGGCGATTTTCTATTTCTGTAGATAACTTAAATGCACTAAGTCCATACTCTTCTTTGGGTAGTGGATGTAGGATTATTTTGGCCTACAGATTTAGTCCTTCCTCAATACTGACGACACAGAGTCTGGGCTTAACTATAGTTAAAAACAGAATGACTTGACTTAAACTTTATCTGTTTCTAAAACATAAAATAAATCATACAATTACACCAAGAAAAATATACAAATCCACTGTCATTCAAAAAAGGACAAAAACGTACCGAACAGTATTGAGGGAACGGACAAAATGAACAGTTAATTAATTACATGTACACACAAATAAAGAGACAGACAACAAAGAACGCTCAAGGTCACATCACGTGGTGTGAGTTACATTAAATTAACCAATAATCGCGACAAGGAGGTCACATCATATTGATCAGCTGTCTATCATATAGTCTATCTATCTAACGCGATTAACAGTGGAATTTAAATAATTTGCCAGTGTCACCTTTTTGAGCCAAGTTCAAATTGTATTGTAGGTATTCTTCTAGTCTGGAATAAATTCAAGTGTAACAGGCATGTTTGGATTGTTTGAAGTTCTCCTAGATTTCGTATTTGATCCTCAATATGTTAACTGCAAAGCTCATTGACACCTTCAGTACTGACAACATTATGTTTGAACAAATTGAGCTGTAGTGTTTTTTAAGATACCCAGTCAGATATTTTTCAACAGCACAGTCTTTCGAGAATCATGATTCAAGTTCATCACGAATCTATTGGAGTAGCTCACATTGTGTACTTTTCAAGTTTAGTCTACAGAGATAATATTCTGTCTTACCAATTACACCAAGGATAAGACCGTAGAGATAGATGAATCTGGCATTTCAGTGTCGGTGAAACTGCCTACGATGGCCATTGGTTGGTTTACTTTTCCTATCATTCACTGGCTTATATTTTCACGACTGTGAATGATACCAACATTTAAAATTGGCCTAACTGGTAGTTTTACATGTGAAAATTTCGGCCTATCGGATACCTGAAATTGTTTACTTGCATGTATTTCCAAGATGACGGACAGTAGTAATTCCCGGATTGTTTACACTTCAGTCTGCTAAGGTTCTCCGTCAGACGTGTCTGCTTTCTAATGACTGCTCTACAAACCCCACATTCCACTTGCGTTAGTTTACTTAACAGCTCAAGGCTGACTGTTTACAGCATGTCAGTAGTACTGTGAACTACAGCTAGAGTCACCTACTCGTGTTACCTACTTCAACATATTTATTCACATTCACACTGGGTTTTCTTTTCATTCTCTACGTTGTGTTTGTAGGTGAACTTTACCATATCTTATCGTTTCGACTCAACAGTTTATTCTTCGTATGGTTATTATGAGCCACATATCAAAACTCACGGACCAGAGACGAGATATCCACTACCTTCTCGTAACATTGCGGCTGGGAGATCTAAAAAGGTGGCGTGGTTTGTAAGTAACTGTATACCGAAGAGCCCTAGAATGGTATATGCCAAAGAATTATCTCGACATATATCCGTGAGTGATTGCCCATTTTTGTCTATATTTTCGTGTCATAATCATCATCATCATCCTGCTTCATTTTACACGTCCGCTCATAACTTTCACAATCTGAACCATGTTTTTGCTTTCGTATGGTAAATTTCTGTTGTCGAATAATCGTCTTTGGTGCCTTTAATGGCTTCATACTGACTGACCATATAAGTAGCGACTAGACAGCTATGAAAGAAAGCATTAGAAACATGTGCAAAGTGGTTCACTAAGTAGAAAATGAACATGTATCTCCCTATACATTGACATCTGACTAGTTTTTTAAAGTTATGTCCAACTAAAACAGTGCAGTAATAACTGTTTATGTGTAACAGGTATAGGAATTCCACTCTGATATATCATCATACATGCAATTTTATACAATAAACTCGGTAGATTTATCTGTTCATTAGTGGGTGATGGAAGTATTTAGATGTCACTTCTATTAACATTTCTTATAGGACCGACTGAGTTTTCGTGTTTTGTTTATTGATGTGCCACATGAAACCTGCTTGTTTGAAACGATGATGTGCAAAACTATCTGCTCCGAAAATGGACAGTACGCAGTAGTAGTGAACTTGTTTCTTCACTGAGTCATTACATTGTTCTCTTACCGGTTACTTTCTTCTAATAAATATTTTATGGTTGGGTTTTATTCGACTCATAGGTTGACATATACGGTGGATGTGGCACGAAATCGTGTCCGAAGAATAAAGCAACATTTGCTTCAACGCCTGAATGTTTAAGTACGATTCGTGAAAACTACAAATTTTATTTGAGCTTTGAGAACAGTTTGTGTTCGGAGTACATAACTGAGAAACTCTACAGAAATGCCCTCAAGTAAGTCACTTTTAAATGTTTACTTCTGTTTTTGAACGGATGAATCTAAATTGTCTCGATTCTTAAATGAATTCATTTTAATTGTCTTTCTGAAAGAATTTTCCCACTAAGTAACTTTCTTTGTAGTTGAAACAGTCTACACCTATTTTAGTATGTTCGCATGCGTGCCAGTATAACAGGATCGGTTAATCAAAGTTATGATAACGATGTCACAACTTATATCTAAGCAGGGTTGTATTGGCATCAAATTTCCAAGATGTCTTGGCCTTCACATCCATATACTTACGAGAAAGCCTTAGATTCCAAGTCATTTTGACCACACCCGATGATAAAATTTGATGTGATATTTTAGACTGAAAATTCAAATCAAGAGCTTTATAGTTGTTTATTGTATGTTTTTGAACGTTTTCCTCATCTCCTTAATTTGTGATTGTTTAGATTCGGCTTGCTATCTAGTTGATCTTTGATTAAGTTAGTCTTCCCATTGATGATGATTAGCAACGGTATAATTACTGCGGCAATCAACTTACCTGTCACGCGAGAGATAGAACCGATAAGTCATTCTACCTGCCATCAAATGTAAATTCCTGAAATACCACTGAAACATATATCCACAAATATAGTCGTCATCATTATAGGTCTGAATTTCATTGGATAATTTGAAGGGTACAATACAGCGCTTAATTTGCATTCCAATATACATATCACTGTTGTGATATGTGCCTATGACACTTAACAATGTAAACATTTCATTTGGAAAAGATTATGGATAACCTCAGAGTACACAGAGACTCTAATGCTCAATATAGATCCGCTTTCACAAAGCTGCAAGCCATACTTCTTCTGCAAACGTTTGTAATACAACATATTTTTCCAGAACAACGCTATTTTGGTGGTTCTTAAAATGATCACATAGTGGTCAAATCTATGGTTCCATGAAAATTACCCATAATGTTACAGTCTGAAGTTAGAGGTGAATATAAACAAAATTCCTGTTTTCTCACTCGCTGTGCACAGTCTGGTGTATAATCCAGTCCACCACACTTAGGTTTATCATCAGTGAAAATAGGCAGTCTGCTTTGTCTTACTCCTGTATTCACTTCAAACACCTTGCTGAGGTTTCCGTTCTTAGTCAGCTGACAAGTAGAATTTTCACTTAACCAGCTATTGGATGAGGTTGATAAAGATTTGGATGCTGCACACCATAGTGTTGAAGTAGTCTCCAAATTACTTCTCAGTCAACGCTGTCGTAGGCCCTTCGAACTCGATGAAATTGAGGTACAGGTTTGATTGCCTTTCAATGCCATGTTCGATGATGATGTGTGGAGCTGGGATTTGATCCACACATGATTTACCTTTCCTGAATCTAGCTTGTTCCGACTGGTGGAGATGTGTATCCAGTGCATGTTTTATTCTCGCTAGGATGACGTGACTTGGTATTTTACTTGGCGTGGACAAGATCATGGTTACGTGACAGTTCTTGCAGAGGCCTAAACAAGTCACCCTTCTTTGGTAGTTTGACAAGGTAGTCTTTCTTCCAATCATCACTGAGAACGGACCCAGAGACACCAACGGATGTGCTCACGTCACTATTGCACAAAGTTTGAATGGAAAGGTGCCTACTGATTGGGAGAAACTGTATTGTAGTAGGAGTGGAAGAATGAATAATAGTCAGTTAATTCTAATTACCGTTGAAATGCACGCTCAGTGCACGGTCAACAAAAGCATGAGATGAAAACTAACCACAACAGAACGACTGTTTCTATATTAATGATCAACAGGCGTGGAGGTCATGAGATGTGGGTTGTAATCAGGGGTGAGAGAAGATGTGAATAGTTCAAAATATGCGTGTATGAAGATACTCATAAATGTAACACTGAAGTGAACATCAGATTTTCAAAGTAAATGATCATGAATAACGACGGATATATAGTAGGTAATAAATACTCGTGATTGGATTTTATTCAGACTGGTTATGAACTTCATATGAATGAACGATAATATCGGAAACCGAAAGAGAAAATTGAGTAGAAGTTTATATATATTGTAAACAAAATAACAGGCTGAGTGATTGGTTGAAAGAATATAAATTGTGCATGTAAGTAGCGGCGTCATCAAGTGAAAATGCACCTCTACTTGCGTGTCTTGCCTTCTGCTGTTACAATAGTGTCTCTGTGTGATACAGGAGAAAGAGAGGAAGGACATGGGAAAGGAGCTTAGAATATTAATTTCCAACGTATGTTCATAGGGAATGTGTTTATCTTGTTGTACGACAGGATAAACGAGTAAGCTGAACATATTTGTTCTGGACACAGAGATAAGATGTCTCGGTATTACTTTTTTTACTCTCTGGCTACGCTACCTATAAGAGATTTCGTTGAACTCTTCTTGATAGATTAGGGGAAGCACAGTTTATCACCTGAGTTGTCTTCACTGATATTCACTGTCCAGCAAGTGACACAGAACTGTGCTATTTTTGCACGTAGCTTCCCACTTATTCAACTATACTGGTTACTGGTATGTATTCATGTGAGCGCTTCTGAGTGCGTTCTGTGTAACAAGCCTTACATGAGCAGTTGAACTATTAGATGTGCACTGAAAAGGCCATCATCGGTGATTTACCCTTGACTTGCTGTGTGATCACTGGTTTGGTTAAGCAGATGAGTGCAAATTTAGACGTGGTGAATGTCATCTCAACAGATCTGTTCAGCTAGCACTTAAGGAAATCAACTACAATAGCATCTCTGAAAGTTAATCTGTGATGATGCAATATTCCATGATACACAGTGTCCACAATTATCCCCTTTCTGGGTCTCGACATGCACACACCTGTGATGTGCACTTCAGTTTATACATGTCTTAATGTATACAGTTGTCGGAAAATGTATTTCTTGTTCTGTCGCTAAGACACTACTAGGTATCTTCAGTCTTCAAGCAGTATGAGACTATGGAAATGGATTTATTCTCCAGTTCGAAAATCTTTATATTCCTCTCTAAGTATCAGTATATCTTCTAAGTTAGGAGGACATCTAGGTGAGATAGACTGTCTCCTTGTTCTTCCTTTCCAGTGACCTGTACAAATGGATAAAGACATCATCTGTATACAGAAAATAGCTGAGCTGAGGAGGACATCTAATGAAGAACAGTCAGTTGGAACACACATAACGATGTTAAATTTGGCTGAGTAGACAATAAAATCCATATTCTTCGATATAAACTTGTCATATATGTGCGGACATTCAGTCAGAAACGTAGAATCCAACCAACCTCGTCCACAAACGAAAAAGCATGAATGCATACTGATTTTAGTAACTCTTGTCTCCTCAGTCCAAAGTGCATGCGTTGTGCACCAAGTTCTGCATTAAATCCTGATAATTCACACTCGATTGTCAGAAATATCAGTGGAAGACATAATCCTCCATGTACTCAGGAGTATATGAAATTGATCCGAACACGCAATATCTGGTACAGTCACAGAGGCAGAATTTCAAATCTTTTCGAGAATATAATACATGATGCACAAAAATAAGAAAGGCATTTCCTGTAAAATTCGGAAAGTATTCATCCATAACTAGATATATATTGCAAATGTTCGTAGGTCTATCTAACATAAAAAATGTGTTATATGTTACGTCAGATGTGAGAAGACAAGTGCTATTACTCTCTAACAGTTAACACTAACAGCTGAAGTTCGCATTAAAAGTACAAATAGTCACGTTGATGCAGTGTTGTTTCAGCCTGCATTGACAAATTATTCGAGCTTGCAGCTACCCATAGGTCATATTCATTAGTTACACCTACAAACCTCTCACAAACACTATATTAAAAATACAAAAATTTGAAAAAAATCTCATTCTTTGGTCGAATTGGAGAGGCGAAATCACGAAACAGTTTGGTGAAAGCCTCCGGGAAGCCAGTCAGCCAACCGACGTGTCTTCTCTCGATGAAAGCAAGAGTAAGAATGGGTACATGAAATGTCCGTACAATGTACGAGACTGAGAAGGCTGTCCAGGTAGCCAAAGAGATGCAAAGATATGGCTTAGAAGTACTGGGTATCTGCGAGAGCAGATGGAATGGTTACGGATTGTCAAAATTGTCAACGGGAGAGTCAATAATCTACTCCAGCCACCCAGACGACAACCACAAACACACTGAGACAGTGAGTGGCTAACATGATGTCAGCGACATCAGCCAAAACCCTAATGCAGTTGGAACCAATTTCCTCTTGCAGGATCATGACAGCAAGATTCAACTCAAAAGGAGGGGAGGTCACAATTATCCAATCCTACGCACAGTGCTACAAACAACGCGGAACAAGAAAAGAAGGAGGATTTCTACAGACAACTACAAACAGTAATGGGTAACATCGCAAGTGGTGACATCACAATCTTCATGAGCGATATGAACGCCGAAGTGGGAGCACATAATGCAGGAAGAGAACTCATCATGTGTTGAGAGGCTCTCGCTCGCTCAGGGAAGTGAATGAGAACGGAGAATTACTCGCAGACTTCTGTTCTTTCACCGATTTGGTGATTGCAGGCAGCGTGTACAAGCACAAGGATACACACAAAGCAACATGGATTTCGTCTGACGGACACACCACAAACAAGATAGCCTTCATCTCAAAGCTGCTCAAGGAAGTGGAGACGCTACTAGCCTGCTGGACACGAATTCGAGAAGTGGAACAGATGTGGGCTCAGATCATCATCTGATTCAAGGAACCTTCAAGGTGAAACTGAAATCCATGAAAACAACTGGAAACAGACCATAATGCAAGTTCAATATTCAGAAACCGAAGGACAAAACTACAAGGGATGGCTTCACTGCAGATCAGCTCAGAGCAAGGTCAGACACACTACATGGCATCACTGAGAAAACCTGCGTGTAAGAACATTGGAACTAACTCTCTGAAATCGATATTCGAGGAAACGTGTGCAACTGTTCTAGGAAGAAGGAAGAGACAAGACAAGAAATGGCTGTCAACGGATACCTGGAAGCTAACAGAGGAGAGGAGAGGAGAGGAAGATGGTGAAAGAAAAGGTGACTACTCAATGCAAGGATGGACAACAGCAGGAGGAGCTGAGTTCAATGCACACTGCACTGAATAAAGAAGCGAAGAGGAGGGCTAGGAAAGACAAACGACAATTCTACGGCACACTGGCCGGCAACTGAAGCAGAACAGGCCGCAGGCAAAAGAGATATCAGGACATTATATCAGATAACCAAGTCTCTATCTGGGAAGAGATCAACCTAGATGATGAAACCAATAAAAGATTTTCAAGGGAACCTGATCACCACGTAGGAGAAACAAATCAAACAATGGCCTGATCACTTTAAATAACTGTTGAATCGACCACTACTGTCAACTCGTCCAGAAATACCACCACCAACACGCACGGTAATACCAGTGGACACCACGTCTCCAACGGAAGAAGAAATCTTGAATGCGATCAAGCCACCGAAGTCCAGGAAGGCAGCACGACCAGAAGGCACCTCTCCCGAAGAACTGGAGACAGTCCCAGAGATTACGGCAGATATTCTCTCTCCATTACTGCAAAAGTTTGAAAAGGAGGAAAGGTGCCTACTGATTGGAAGAAGGGCTACACCGTCGAACTGCCAAAGAAGGGCGACTTATGGCTGTGCAAGAACTGGCGTGGAATAATGCTCTTGTCCACGACAGGTAAAATACTAATTCGCACCATCCTGGGGAGAATAAAAGATGCACTGGATACAGAACTCCGCCTGGAACAAGATGGAGATGTGTTGTTGAAGCCTTATGTTCCACTTGGAATGCAAGGGAATAATAAAATAAAATATAAAAAATATGGTTATATATACTCGTGATTGGATTTTATTCAGACTGATTATAAAATTCACATGAATGAACGATAATATCGGAAACCGAAAGAGAAAACTAGGTAGATGTTTGTATATATATATATGCCCATTTACAATGACAAATGATCTGCAAACATTACTGGTCCCATATCTTACAATTCCCTCGTGAATTGCGCATTGCCTTCACCAACGACGCACCCTGGATTACAGTTGTGAAATATACTTTTATACCAATAAAGAAGTATTGATTTATAATACTTCACGATTGTAACTTACAACGTAACTGATCATGTCTGCAAAATTAGCTTGCATTTCTTGAAAACACCCGTTTATAAGAAAATTTAAACTGTCATTATTATTAGTCTACACTGAGTACAATTCACTTGTGATGTTACGATGAAAATGCTGACAAAAGTATACAAGTGTATTACTTATTTTAAATTATTATCAAATTTGGATATAAATCAAGAATAAGACTCGATGCCGTACACACCAAAGTTATATGGAAGAATTACTTCAAGCTTTATTTTTTTCCCAAGTATTTGTAATCCATCCAAAACATAGTTGGATTTTTTTTGTTAATGCGAAGACAATATTTCTATATCTCCATTGAATGACTAGTTATCATATTGTTCCCATAGACAAAATGACTGCAACCTTATAATTTTACCATGAACCAAATTTATGTAATTTAAATAATACTTATCCATGCCTGTACAATTGGTGTGTCCTACACAGGTAGGAAAAAATGTATTTTATTAAATTACTATTATTAAATATGTTTACTAATCGTATATGTAATTTATCATATTGATGATGCCTGTAAACTGGCGTCCCTCATGTACAAAATGAGAATATACTATTATTATTATTATTATTATTATTATTATTATATATAAGAATGGAAATGATTATCTAAGACTACATTTGGAAAATCAAAGATTAGTTTGTACAAGTGCAATCACAAACAAGGGACAGAGAGAATTTATACACATGGGACGGAAGGTCATACCTAAAAGTTACGATGTAATACATTATTTATGAATTTATAGATTCCACAGCAGGCTAGGGAAGCACTAGTGGCTGGACTTATTTCTTTAGTACACAAATTCCCGGCTGTTTTGAGTGAATTGCTATGCTTTTTGCTATTTGGTATATTCGGTACCTGTTGGCGGTTTATTTATTACGCGAGAGAAGACAGAAAACGATTCTCTTAAACTGTTTGTTCGGACCACGTGCGTTAATATTAAATTGCCAATGTTTTCCATTGCACCGTTTTCGCCCACACTGGTAGGCATTGTTGGGCATGAAAATCGAAGTTCCAAGAGCACCGGTCAACATCTTTTGCTTTACAGGAACAGTTGAATTGATAGATACAGGAAGATGTGATTGTTAGCCTAAGCACTTCATCTCCTAATTTCGGAATCACAACCGGACGTGTAGATAATATGAGTTACAATTCACCGAGACTAAGGCTTCTTGGAACTGATTTCCTTAGCTTGTTGATTATCGCTTCACTTGGTTTGTCACTTTTAATCTGCGATCGCATGTTAAAGTGACTCTTTGTTTACATATGCAGAACAGTCTATTCACATATACCTCTGGGAATTCGGATGTTAATCAATCATTTTTGTTTAAAAACATTAATGCTGTGAAAAATAATTATTCTCTAACCATTATGAGTATACAATTGTAGAACCTGATGTGGAAGTTCTTTGTTCACTGATCTGTCTTATAATAATAAACTGAATTTGAAACGTCACGAAATTATAATTATCTGAAATAATAGTGTGGTGGTGTGATACAGACATTGTATTTGTTGATGTTAGTGTTTGAATGCTATACACATATAAATTATAATTATATTTCCGTAGTTAACACACAGTGATAAGTTTTTGTGTTTTGGTAATATTACTGCTCGTGATCATGCCAAGCGTTGTTTTGAATTCACACGGAATTCCAGACCATTTGCATGGTCGGCGAGATTCCTAACCGCTGTGCCACTGACAACAGTCAAGCTTATCAACGGTGTTTTCAAACACACGTGTAGTGAAATCATGTCAACTCCGTCAACTTGTTTATGAAACCTGTTTTTATAGAACATTTTACAAAACATTAATTGTGCATTCTGACAGTGATCCCTTGACCGTTTTGTGGGGAATTCTTATTTCCACCTTCCGTTCTATCAGCTATCTCCTATGAGACTAATCAATTAAAGAAGTGGAACGTTACTAAGCAGGGATGTTATATCCAGTGAAGTCGTTTGTTTTCGATTGACACTGAGGTTTTTGACGACTTTTACGAAAGTAAATGCATCATTCATAATAAACGATACCGTCTGAGTGTACGTGTGCCTGAAAACAGTAATCAGTGATAGTTCTGTGATCTTTCGTCTCGGTTGCATCTTCACCGATATTTAATTTATGAAATTCTCTTGAGTCATCCCATCTGAGTTGAGTAGTGGCGCTTATTCATGGTTACTGCTGGACCTGGTCGTCTGTCAGGTTTCAGTGTTATTACATTTTCATCCTATTAGTACTCAAGCACTGTCGTCTTAAAAAATGAGAGATAAGAGAAGAACTTATTCAGTAAGTAACCAAAGCTAAAGATTCGAAGCTGTATCTTGCTGAGAAACTAGCATACTGCCACAGTAAGCTGAAATTCTGAATGCCATCAAGTTTCCTCTAACGCATCCTAAATTTAACCATCTAGAACTTCAGCACCATCCTCAGTCAAACAAATGCATAAAGGCTACTGAGACACTACACTATATGAATAAGTATCCAGTAGAAACGCAGAAATCAACAGAATCATCGACAGTTTCTTCGGTAAACGTATTTATCCTGTTGTTACAGTTATTGGTGCTCTTATGGATGTATTTTTGGAGGGTTATTATTCTTAGGAGTTTCACAGTGATAGACAGATTCATATAGTGAAAACACTTTCAAATATTCTACACCAAACGATTCCGACTGACATTTTACATTTCTACATCTTTTCCAGCAACGATATACTTCCCATTGTGATGGGAGCTTCAATTGAGGAATACGAAAGGGTTGCTCCGCCATACTCGTTTATTCACGTAGATCAGTTTGAATCACCAGCAAAACTTGCAGAATACTTGAATTACTTGGACAAAAACGATACCGCCTACAATGAATACTTCGCTTGGCATGGTCATGGTATTATCCACGACTGGGATTCTCAACCACAGTGCGCTATGTGTTTACTAGCACATACTTCTCCCTTGTTTGGACCGTATTGGATTCCACAAGTAGCCAGATGGTGGAATGATGGATGCAACGGACGGAGACTGCGATGGGGATCGTAATTGTACTCGAATGCTGAGAAAACACAAGTTTCCTTTGTTTCGTGCTCCTTCAAGTGACCAAACACATCTTATGGATGTTTACTTTTTCTGTGCAAATAATTTCCTTACACATCTTCTTTGATATTATTGGTAATTAAAATAGTAAAATTCGACCGATGCATAGAGAATATTTAATTAAGAGTATTGAATTCTCATCAACACCGACCTTCTCCAATTTATGTGAGAAAAATATTTTTCACCGAAGAATTTCTACTTCTTTTTTGATAAGAAAAAGACAATTATGTACTTCAGTGGTTTTTATTACACTCTATATTAACACTAGACTGCATCATTTTCAGGAATTATCATTGTACAATGCCCACAACTGTTAGCAATGTTAGAATGTAAAGGTAAGAATGTAAATGAAAACTATTTGGCAAGAAATAATTTCTTCCTAATATGTTTGGTATTTTACGCCTACGTAGTCATTTTAATAGCATTTCACGGATTATAAGCGTAATGTGAGGAGTATATTGTGAGATAAATTCAGAGGACAGGGGATCAACTCCGTTTTGGCCGGGATCTAAGTTATTGTGTTGTTCACAAATTTTTCACCTCTCTTGTCCAGAAATATACACATATATCTCTCTCAATTCATGTTCATCAATATTGTATAATTCGGCTAAGTTGAAGTGGTTCATCATAAGATCTGTATTTTATTTCTGTGTCATTGTTTGCTCGGAGTAATTTGAATGAGAATTGTATAGGACATGAAGGTCATTATTTAGGTATCTCGAACCATTGGTGGAGTGACAAGAAGTAGGGATAGTGCCCTCTATATGTTAGCTGCTATATGTATAGTGCCTGATGTCTATAGAATGACATTATTTCAGAATTATTGTATGTGAACAGACCAGAGAGTAGTAGATGTACATGGCTGTTTCCCGCCCAACTGTCAGAGTACAATTGTCGCTGATCCCTATGAAAATGTTCTCTAATTCACAAGCAAAATTATTCGACAGCATTCTTTATGAATATGAATATGAATTTCTACTAGTCCTAATCAAGTGTGAACTTCTATGATTCATCTGTCAGCCTAAATAACTTCATACAACCTAATAACTAACTGGACAATCAGTCATCTGTTTCCGATTCAAACTGATCTTACTAGATCGGGAATCATGTGCCCTGTCGTTTGACTGAGGTTAACAAATCTAAATAAATTACTTCTCTGAATTATATTCTGAGTAACTACAATGTACTTTAGTTGTGTTTATCTATTCGGATTCCTTCCATCAGTGTTAGTTAAAAGTGTATGACAAGTCAGGATTTCTCTCAAATCTGTGTCGTCTCTTGATATATCCGTACAAGCACCAGCTTAGTAAGTGACGCTGTAAGAACGTTCTAAGCAACAGTGAAGTTCCCTTGTTCTAGGAGACACATTTTTTAGTGAATTTGTCTAATATTAATTCATTTGCTAAACTCTGTCCTGTATATGTTGCGTGTAGACTCTTCTGAATTATATTCGTTAGCGATATAATTTTTAGGAGAAATCAATCATGAGTCACGAATGCTATGAAGAAGATTTTTCCCGACTGTGTCAGTCAATTTAATACTCTGAATGGGTGTCTTTATCATTGCTATTGCTATTTTGTTATATGCAATATGCATAAACTTATGTTTGGCACAATAATGGGAAAGTGGAAATATTTATCAAGTAGAAATACACCCCCAGTGTTTTATTGAGGGCGACTAGTGTCAGTCATTTTTAACTACACATTATAACAATTGAATTCGTTGCGTATTGAATTTTCGTAGTTTCCCCACTCCACTGAACACTGTGAAATTCTAACTATCACTTCTCACACTATGAAATGCTGGTGGATTCTCGATGATTCATGTCATTTGATAGACACAAGTACACGGATTCCGGTGGTCTTTAAGCCTATATCAGGGTGTATGGATGGTACACTCACCCTTGGATAGATACTGGAGTACAGGTGTACTTACCGGCCTCCAACACTTGCCATATTTCATCAACTGAAGACAGCTGTTGACTTGATTCACTGAGAGGTGCTACAGCAATGTCTGGCCGTTAAGCAGTTGCCAGGATAAGTGCATCGCACTAATCAAAACACTTTACTCGAACCCACACATCCGTATAACAGCTTACGGAGAGGCAGTTTTCGTCTGAAGTGATGATAACCACTACTGTCCATCAGGAATATCCGTTGTCCTCACTTTTGTTCAGTCTTATTATAAATGTATGAACAGATGTGCCCCTGATCGAATTTAGTGGCCTATAGACTTGCTTGTTAACACGACACACTTGTCGACTTAGATTACGCAGACTATGTAGTTCTTCTAGGCGATGATGCTGACAGAACACGGCCTTCTGAACACTTTGAGCATAAATCTTGATATGTATGGCATGCGATTACCTCGTGTCGAATGCAAGACGACGTCAGAGGATTGGTGTGTACCAACTGCTAGATTGAAGATAGGGAGAGAAGTGGTTCAGCTAGTTGAGGTCTTATCAAGTCATGCTTTTTCGAAGTCTGTTTTATTTCAATAGTTTTATTTGATACTGATTTTGAAACTAAGTATTTAATGCCATTGCAAGTGGACAAGAGTTTTTAGTTTGTCGAATATAGTAGTAAATAAGCACAAATGAACTCTGTATAGGTGTGTGACGATGACAAGAAGAAACTAGAATTCCAAGAATTAATGCTCACTCGTCTAGAAATCAATTCATCAAGCTTTCAAATATATATATATACGATTCGTGTGATCCGGTCTTCAAACAGAGAATCAGCGTATTTGTCAGAATGTTGTTACATCAAATCCATACATTTTAAACGAGTGCTACTTGAGCCGAGTTTTCAAAGTTCTTCATGAATTTGTGTACACATGTTCACTACCACAAAAGCATTTTATTGTTAGAATTCATGTACTGTTCATTTGTATAAGTCTCTTGGCATATATGTTTTCAATAATTTACACATTCATTACGGTTCGTTCACCTCACAATGGCGACAAGCCTGATTGTTTATTCCTTGTAGGACAAGGTATACAGTCTGATAACTGCAGTAAGCGGTACCGTATGTTATTAAATGGCTTAAGTCGTCCTGCATATAAGCGCGGCTGAATTTAACATTCCGTTGGATTTGATAATACTAATAATTATGACAGTTTTGCTTTGAAAGGTGCGTTCACCTACGATTCAAAGTTTTCAGTGTTTTATCTACTTTTGTACAGAATCTTTTAATAATAATCATAATAATAATAATAACCTACATAATATAATTCGATAAAATATGTGAAGCATGCTCCAACCTATCTTCAAAACAAACCTAGCGATAAGCATTCAATAAAAGCCATTCATCGCTTGTGTGAAGGCTACGCATTTATAGGTTACTTATTCCTATGCTGACTGATAGCTTTAATTTTCGGCTTAATATTGAGGCAAGTCCTTATTTTATGCTAACTATTAGCACCACTATAGCTGTCATTCCTGTTAATAGGTGAATAAAGGAAAGATGAATTCAACCGGATTTTCTGTATCTGATTTGACACTGAGTATGCATTCGAAGAAGCTTTCCAAAAGTTCAAGAAGCGACTATTAATTCTGTTTCTAAGATCATATCTTCCCTTCCTGAATAGTCAGTTGGAACACACATAACGATGTTAAATTTGGCTGAGTAGACAATAAAATCCATATTCTTCGATATAAACTTGTCATATATGTGCGGACATTCAGTCAGAAACGTAGAATCCAACCAACCTGGTCCACAAACGAAAAAGCATGAATGCATACTGATTTTAGTAACTCTTGTCTCCTCAGTCCAAAGTGCATGCGTTGTGCACCAAGTTCTGCATTAAATCCTGATAATTCACACTCGATTGTCAGAAATATCAGTGGAAGACATAATCCTCCATGTACTCAGGAGTATATGAAATTGATCCGAACACGCAATATCTGGTACAGTCACAGAGGCAGAATTTCAAATCTTTTCGAGAATATAATACATGATGCACAAAAATAAGAAAGGCATTTCCTGTAAAATTCGGAAAGTATTCATCCATAACTAGATATATATTGCAAATGTTCGTAGGTCTATCTAACATAAAAAATGTGTTATATGTTACGTCAGATGTGAGAAGACAAGTGCTATTACTCTCTAACAGTTAACACTAACAGCTGAAGTTCGCATTAAAAGTACAAATAGTCACGTTGATGCAGTGTTGTTTCAGCCTGCATTGACAAATTATTCGAGCTTGCAGCTACCCATAGGTCATATTCATTAGTTACACCTACAAACCTCTCACAAACACTATATTAAAAATACAAAAATTTGAAAAAAATCTCATTCTTTGGTCGAATTGGAGAGGCGAAATCACGAAACAGTTTGGTGAAAGCCTCCGGGAAGCCAGTCAGCCAACCGACGTGTCTTCTCTCGATGAAAGCAAGAGTAAGAATGGGTACATGAAATGTCCGTACAATGTACGAGACTGAGAAGGCTGTCCAGGTAGCCAAAGAGATGCAAAGATATGGCTTAGAAGTACTGGGTATCTGCGAGAGCAGATGGAATGGTTACGGATTGTCAAAATTGTCAACGGGAGAGTCAATAATCTACTCCAGCCACCCAGACGACAACCACAAACACACTGAGACAGTGAGTGGCTAACATGATGTCAGCGACATCAGCCAAAACCCTAATGCAGTTGGAACCAATTTCCTCTTGCAGGATCATGACAGCAAGATTCAACTCAAAAGGAGGGGAGGTCACAATTATCCAATCCTACGCACAGTGCTACAAACAACGCGGAACAAGAAAAGAAGGAGGATTTCTACAGACAACTACAAACAGTAATTGGTAACATTGCAAGTGGTGACATCACAATCTTCATGAGCGATATGAACGCCGAAGTGGGAGCACATAATGCAGGAAGAGAACTCATCATGTGTTGAGAGGCTCTCGCTCGCTCAGGGAAGTGAATGAGAACGGAGAATTACTCGCAGACTTCTGTTCTTTCACCGATTTGGTGATTGCAGGCAGCGTGTACAAGCACAAGGATACACACAAAGCAACATGGATTTCGTCTGACGGACACACCACAAACAAGATAGCCTTCATCTCAAAGCTGCTCAAGGAAGTGGAGACGCTACTAGCCTGCTGGACACGAATTCGAGAAGGGGAACAGATGTGGGCTCAGATCATCATCTGATTCAAGGAACCTTCAAGGTGAAACTGAAATCCATGAAAACAACTGGAAACAGACCATAATGCAAGTTCAATATTCAGAAACCGAAGGACAAAACTACAAGGGATGGCTTCACTGCAGATCAGCTCAGAGCAAGGTCAGACACACTACATGGCATCACTGAGAAAACCTGCGTGTAAGAACATTGGAACTAACTCTCTGAAATCGATATTCGAGGAAACGTGTGCAACTGTTCTAGGAAGAAGGAAGAGACAAGACAAGAAATGGCTGTCAACGGATACCTGGAAGCTAACAGAGGAGAGGAGAGGAGAGGAAGATGGTGAAAGAAAAGGTGACTACTCAATGCAAGGATGGACAACAGCAGGAGGAGCTGAGTTCAATGCACACTGCACTGAATAAAGAAGCGAAGAGGAGGGCTAGGAAAGACAAACGACAATTCTACGGCACACTGGCCGGCAACTGAAGCAGAACAGGCCGCAGGCAAAAGAGATATCAGGACATTATATCAGATAACCAAGTCTCTATCTGGGAAGAGATCAACCTAGATGATGAAACCAATAAAAGATTTTCAAGGGAACCTGATCACCACGTAGGAGAAACAAATCAAACAATGGGCTTGTCACTTTAAATAACTGTTGAATCGACCACTACTGTCAACTCGTCCAGAAATACCACCACCAACACGCACGGTAATACCAGTGGACACCACGTCTCCAACGGAAGAAGAAATCTTGAATGCGATCAAGCCACCGAAGTCCAGGAAGGCAGCACGACCAGAAGGCACCTCTCCCGAAGAACTGGAGACAGTCTGTTATAACTGCAATGAATTAAAGTAAACCGCGTCGCCAATTTGTTGTAACTGTAGCGGGAATTAAAATGAGGTACGTTGTTGCCTTGTTCTGTCTGCGCCTGACTAATATGCCTATCTGCTTCTGGTACCTTCCGACTCAGCGAACCACGCAATATCAAAAGACAAAGTCTGGTCTGTGACTGTGTATTGTAGTACAACACTACGACTACGACAACAACGACGACGACTACAACAACGACGACTAAACTTATTTAGGAAATGGTATTTATACAATTTTACAAACAATAGAGACAGCTAACAGTATTTGAAATAATTGGTCGTAATAGTCAATAACAAAATGCGTGGGAATGATGATATACCACATATGCGAGATTAACAGTCATTAAGATAACTGAACAATAACAAAGTGCCTGGGAAATGATAATATAACACATATGCGAGATTAACAGTCATTAAGATAATTGACAATAACAAAGTGTGTGAGAATTGATGATATACAACTTATACGAGATTAACAGTCGTTAAGATAACTGAACAATAACAATATGCGTGAGAAATGATAATATACAACTTATACGAGATTAACAGTCGTTAAGATAATTGAACAATAACAAGTGTGTGGGATCCTATCACCTCCCCCCGTTAAAAGTGTAGGACTTGCTTTTTGGACCTATTTGAAAAGGTTTTGGAGCTCTTCTTTGTCGAGTTGACTTTCGCGTACTGGATAGATTGTGATCTGCGTCCTGGGCTTTCGGCTGTGGAAGGATTTGGCGTCGTACGATGATAATGTAGCAAGGATCTATCCAAAATTTCTTCTGCTGTTCCCTCCCCCTTCGTTTTTGCATAAGCACGCTTAAGGGTTTTGACGAATTTGCAGCAACCAAGTTTGTCCTGGAAAACAGGAGCGTGCTTTTGACGCAGGCGTTGTGCGAGAGACTGATCAGATACATGTCCGGGAACAACATTATTTGGTGAGGACGAAACATTAGAGCATACTGAATTTAATGGCACATTGAAGATATGAAGCTTGTCTAACCAGTCAAGACCAAGCAAATTCAGATCATGGTAGTTTGTGACGTAACATACACCATTGAACTGTCGCTCACCAAACTGAACCTGGCAATTTATCTCACCCACGAGTTTCAGTATATCTCCAGAGGCATTCTTAGCGACATGCTCGGTCGGCAGAATCTGTGGGCAACCAAGTTTGCGCCACGTAGTTCGGGAAATTAAAGTGATATCTGATGCGGTATCCAGCTGAAGACGAATAGATTTGCTGTTAATACGTAGTGTAATATACTTACGTTTGCTGGCGAAATCGACTTTGGAAGTTGTGAAAATGGTCTGTACTCGAGGAGATTGTTTCGGCTTGAAACGACTACTTCTGTTCTTCACCGAAGAATTTTTCTGTGGTGTACAGTAACCCTCTTTATGTCCAAAACGGTGACAATTACGGCATTTATGTTTCTTGAAAGGACAGAACTTGACAAAATGCCACGAACCACAGTGCCAGCACACTGAAGGAGGTTTAGCTGAATTCTGAGACTGACGTGCTGTGTGCTTAACGGTGATCGGAGGACTTTTCACTGTGTTAACTGAATCAAATTCAGACGACTGTCGTTTGCACTCCAACATAGCACTATCATGCTTCAAGTTGATTAGGCGTTGGCATTCTGCTGTCACCATTTGTAAAGTCATTTTTGGGTCTTTTTCCACGAGTGACAGAAGTCGACTTCTTATGTCAGTATCTTCTGGGTTCTTCAACCCACAAATAAAAATCAAACACTTGAACTGATCTGATGTCATTTCATGTGGTTTGAACCTTTCGCATTCTTTGTTCACTTTGCCAGCGTAAGTAACATAATCATCGGAAGGCATTTTTGTCAACTGAAAACATTGATACCGAATATTAAACATGGATGACTGTTCACCAAAGATTTGTGATAAAACGGTGACTGTCTCATCGAATGATAATTCACGTGGGTTCTTAGGCAGAATGAAGTTAACATATCTGTTGTGCTCAACAGTACCAAGTTTTCGTAGTAACAATCGGACTTTGGCAGCATCATCAAACATGTGGCATTCAATACGAAAAACGTCTTCATAACGATTGAACCATGCATCAAATACGAGACCAGATATTGGGTCGTAGTTGAATTCACTGATGGAATTTGAGATGCTTTCGTATTTGTCTGAATGAGATGTTGATGGGACTTGAATTGACAGCTTCTGAGTGAGAGCTTCGATTAATTTAAGTTGAGCTGCTTCATTCTGAAGTTGCTGCTGCTGCAAGATGGATTTGAGATCGTCCAGAGAGATAGACATTGTAATTGGGTTGTAATTAACACAGTCAAAAATGTTCTATAGATGCGCTGAACAGAATAAAACACGTCGTCGCTTGCTTGTTATAACTGCAATGAATGAAAGTAAAACCCCGTTGCCAATTGTTATAACTGTAATGAATTGAAGTAAACCGCGTCGCCAATTTGTTGTAACTGTAGCGGGAATTAAAATGAGGTACGTTGTTGCCTTGTTCTGTCTGCGCCTGACTAATATGCCTATCTGCTTCTGGTACCTTCCGACTCAGCGAACCACGCAATATCAAAAGACAAAGTCTGGTCTGTGACTGTGTATTGTAGTACAACACTACGACTACGACAACAACGACGACGACTACAACAACGACGACTAAACTTATTTAGGAAATGGTATTTATACAATTTTACAAACAATAGAGACAGCTAACAGTATTTGAAATAATTGGTCGTAATAGTCAATAACAAAATGCGTGGGAATGATGATATACCACATATGCGAGATTAACAGTCATTAAGATAACTGAACAATAACAAAGTGCCTGGGAAATGATAATATAACACATATGCGAGATTAACAGTCATTAAGATAATTGACAATAACAAAGTGTGTGAGAATTGATGATATACAACTTATACGAGATTAACAGTCGTTAAGATAACTGAACAATAACAATATGCGTGAGAAATGATAATATACAACTTATACGAGATTAACAGTCGTTAAGATAATTGAACAATAACAAGTGTGTGGGATCCTATCACAGTCCCAAAGATTACGGCAGATATTCTCTCTCCATTACTGCAAAAGTTTGAAAAGGAGGAAAGGTGCCTACTGATTGGAAGAAGGGCTACACCGTCGAACTGCCAAAGAAGGGCGACTTATGGCTGTGCAAGAACTGGCGTGGAATAATGCTCTTGTCCACGACAGGTAAAATACTAATTCGCACCATCCTGGGGAGAATAAAAGATGCACTGGATACAGAACTCCGCCTGGAACAAGATGGAGATGTGTTGTTGAAGCCTTATGTTCCACTTGGAATGCAAGGGAATAATAAAATAAAATATAAAAAATATGGTTATATATACTCGTGATTGGATTTTATTCAGACTGATTATAAAATTCACATGAATGAACGATAATATCGGAAACCGAAAGAGAAAACTAGGTAGATGTTTGTATATATATATATGCCCATTTACAATGACAAATGATCTGCAAACATTACTGGTCCCATATCTTACAATTCCCTCGTGAATTGCGCATTGCCTTCACCAACGACGCACCCTGGATTACAGTTGTGAAATATACTTTTATACCAATAAAGAAGTATTGATTTATAATACTTCACGATTGTAACTTACAACGTAACTGATCATGTCTGCAAAATTAGCTTGCATTTCTTGAAAACACCCGTTTATAAGAAAATTTAAACTGTCATTATTATTAGTCTACACTGAGTACAATTCACTTGTGATGTTACGATGAAAATGCTGACAAAAGTATACAAGTGTATTACTTATTTTAAATTATTATCAAATTTGGATATAAATCAAGAATAAGACTCGATGCCGTACACACCAAAGTTATATGGAAGAATTACTTCAAGCTTTATTTTTTTCCCAAGTATTTGTAATCCATCCAAAACATAGTTGGATTTTTTTTGTTAATGCGAAGACAATATTTCTATATCTCCATTGAATGACTAGTTATCATATTGTTCCCATAGACAAAATGACTGCAACCTTATAATTTTACCATGAACCAAATTTATGTAATTTAAATAATACTTATCCATGCCTGTACAATTGGTGTGTCCTACACAGGTAGGAAAAAATGTATTTTATTAAATTACTATTATTAAATATGTTTACTAATCGTATATGTAATTTATCATATTGATGATGCCTGTAAACTGGCGTCCCTCATGTACAAAATGAGAATATACTATTATTATTATTATTATTATTATTATTATTATTATTATTATTATATATAAGAATGGAAATGATTATCTAAGACTACATTTGGAAAATCAAAGATTAGTTTGTACAAGTGCAATCACAAACAAGGGACAGAGAGAATTTATACACATGGGACGGAAGGTCATACCTAAAAGTTACGATGTAATACATTATTTATGAATTTATAGATTCCACAGCAGGCTAGGGAAGCACTAGTGGCTGGACTTATTTCTTTAGTACACAAATTCCCGGCTGTTTTGAGTGAATTGCTATGCTTTTTGCTATTTGGCATATTCGGTACCTGTTGGCGGTTTATTTATTACGCGAGAGAAGACAGAAAACGATTCTCTTAAACTGTTTGTTCGGACCACGTGCGTTAATATTAAATTGCCAATGTTTTCCATTGCACCGTTTTCGCCCACACTGGTAGGCATTGTTGGGCATGAAAATCGAAGTTCCAAGAGCACCGGTCAACATCTTTTGCTTTACAGGAACAGTTGAATTGATAGATACAGGAAGATGTGATTGTTAGCCTAAGCACTTCATCTCCTAATTTCGGAATCACAACCGGACGTGTAGATAATATGAGTTACAATTCACCGAGACTAAGGCTTCTTGGAACTGATTTCCTTAGCTTGTTGATTATCGCTTCACTTGGTTTGTCACTTTTAATCTGCGATCGCATGTTAAAGTGACTCTTTGTTTACATATGCAGAACAGTCTATTCACATATACCTCTGGGAATTCGGATGTTAATCAATCATTTTTGTTTAAAAACATTAATGCTGTGAAAAATAATTATTCTCTAACCATTATGAGTATACAATTGTAGAACCTGATGTGGAAGTTCTTTGTTCACTGATCTGTCTTATAATAATAAACTGAATTTGAAACGTCACGAAATTATAATTATCTGAAATAATAGTGTGGTGGTGTGATACAGACATTGTATTTGTTGATGTTAGTGTTTGAATGCTATACACATATAAATTATAATTATATTTCCGTAGTTAACACACAGTGATAAGTTTTTGTGTTTTGGTAATATTACTGCTCGTGATCATGCCAAGCGTTGTTTTGAATTCACACGGAATTCCAGACCATTTGCATGGTCGGCGAGATTCCTAACCGCTGTGCCACTGACAACAGTCAAGCTTATCAACGGTGTTTTCAAACACACGTGTAGTGAAATCATGTCAACTCCGTCAACTTGTTTATGAAACCTGTTTTTATAGAACATTTTACAAAACATTAATTGTGCATTCTGACAGTGATCCCTTGACCGTTTTGTGGGGAATTCTTATTTCCACCTTCCGTTCTATCAGCTATCTCCTATGAGACTAATCAATTAAAGAAGTGGAACGTTACTAAGCAGGGATGTTATATCCAGTGAAGTCGTTTGTTTTCGATTGACACTGAGGTTTTTGACGACTTTTACGAAAGTAAATGCATCATTCATAATAAACGATACCGTCTGAGTGTACGTGTGCCTGAAAACAGTAATCAGTGATAGTTCTGTGATCTTTCGTCTCGGTTGCATCTTCACCGATATTTAATTTATGAAATTCTCTTGAGTCATCCCATCTGAGTTGAGTAGTGGCGCTTATTCATGGTTACTGCTGGACCTGGTCGTCTGTCAGGTTTCAGTGTTATTACATTTTCATCCTATTAGTACTCAAGCACTGTCGTCTTAAAAAATGAGAGATAAGAGAAGGACTTATTCAGTAAGTAACCAAAGCTAAAGATTCGAAGCTGTATCTTGCTGAGAAACTAGCATACTGCCACAGTAAGCTGAAATTCTGAATGCCATCAAGTTTCCTCTAACGCATCCTAAATTTAACCATCTAGAACTTCAGCACCATCCTCAGTCAAACAAATGCATAAAGGCTACTGAGACACTACACTATATGAATAAGTATCCAGTAGAAACGCAGAAATCAACAGAATCATCGACAGTTTCTTCGGTAAACGTATTTATCCTGTTGTTACAGTTATTGGTGCTCTTATGGATGTATTTTTGGAGGGTTATTATTCTTAGGAGTTTCACAGTGATAGACAGATTCATATAGTGAAAACACTTTCAAATATTCTACACCAAACGATTCCGACTGACATTTTACATTTCTACATCTTTTCCAGCAACGATATACTTCCCATTGTGATGGGAGCTTCAATTGAGGAATACGAAAGGGTTGCTCCGCCATACTCGTTTATTCACGTAGATCAGTTTGAATCACCAGCAAAACTTGCAGAATACTTGAATTACTTGGACAAAAACGATACCGCCTACAATGAATACTTCGCTTGGCATGGTCATGGTATTATCCACGACTGGGATTCTCAACCACAGTGCGCTATGTGTTTACTAGCACATACTTCTCCCTTGTTTGGACCGTATTGGATTCCACAAGTAGCCAGATGGTGGAATGATGGATGCAACGGACGGAGACTGCGATGGGGATCGTAATTGTACTCGAATGCTGAGAAAACACAAGTTTCCTTTGTTTCGTGCTCCTTCAAGTGACCAAACACATCTTATGGATGTTTACTTTTTCTGTGCAAATAATTTCCTTACACATCTTCTTTGATATTATTGGTAATTAAAATAGTAAAATTCGACCGATGCATAGAGAATATTTAATTAAGAGTATTGAATTCTCATCAACACCGACCTTCTCCAATTTATGTGAGAAAAATATTTTTCACCGAAGAATTTCTACTTCTTTTTTGATAAGAAAAAGACAATTATGTACTTCAAATACTCGTGATTGGATTTTATTCAGACTGGTTATGAACTTCATATGAATGAACGATAATATCGGAAACCGAAAGAGAAAATTGAGTAGAAGTTTATATATATTGTAAACAAAATAACAGGCTGAGTGATTGGTTGAAAGAATATAAATTGTGCATGTAAGTAGCGGCGTCATCAAGTGAAAATGCACCTCTACTTGCGTGTCTTGCCTTCTGCTGTTACAATAGTGTCTCTGTGTGATACAGGAGAAAGAGAGGAAGGACATGGGAAAGGAGCTTAGAATATTAATTTCCAACGTATGTTCATAGGGAATGTGTTTATCTTGTTGTACGACAGGATAAACGAGTAAGCTGAACATATTTGTTCTGGACACAGAGATAAGATGTCTCGGTATTACTTTTTTTACTCTCTGGCTACGCTACCTATAAGAGATTTCGTTGAACTCTTCTTGATAGATTAGGGGAAGCACAGTTTATCACCTGAGTTGTCTTCACTGATATTCACTGTCCAGCAAGTGACACAGAACTGTGCTATTTTTGCACGTAGCTTCCCACTTATTCAACTATACTGGTTACTGGTATGTATTCATGTGAGCGCTTCCAAAACGCTCTCTGAGTGCGTTCTGTGTAACAAGCCTTACATGAGCAGTTGAACTATTAGATGTGCACTGAAAAGGCCATCATCGGTGATTTACCCTTGACTTGCTGTGTGATCACTGGTTTGGTTAAGCAGATGAGTGCAAATTTAGACGTGGTGAATGTCATCTCAACAGATCTGTTCAGCTAGCACTTAAGGAAATCAACTACAATAGCATCTCTGAAAGTTAATCTGTGATGATGCAATATTCCATGATACACAGTGTCCACAATTATCCCCTTTCTGGGTCTCGACATGCACACACCTGTGATGTGCACTTCAGTTTATACATGTCTTAATGTATACAGTTGTCGGAAAATGTATTTCTTGTTCTGTCGCTAAGACACTACTAGGTATCTTCAGTCTTCAAGCAGTATGAGACTATGGAAATGGATTTATTCTCCAGTTCGAAAATCTTTATATTCCTCTCTAAGTATCAGTATATCTTCTAAGTTAGGAGGACATCTAGGTGAGATAGACTGTCTCCTTGTTCTTCCTTTCCAGTGACCTGTACAAATGGATAAAGACATCATCTGTATACAGAAAATAGCTGAGCTGAGGAGGACATCTAATGAAGAACAGTCAGTTGGAACACACATAACGATGTTAAATTTGGCTGAGTAGACAATAAAATCCATATTCTTCGATATAAACTTGTCATATATGTGCGGACATTCAGTCAGAAACGTAGAATCCAACCAACCTGGTCCACAAACGAAAAAGCATGAATGCATACTGATTTTAGTAACTCTTGTCTCCTCAGTCCAAAGTGCATGCGTTGTGCACCAAGTTCTGCATTAAATCCTGATAATTCACACTCGATTGTCAGAAATATCAGTGGAAGACATAATCCTCCATGTACTCAGGAGTATATGAAATTGATCCGAACACGCAATATCTGGTACAGTCACAGAGGCAGAATTTCAAATCTTTTCGAGAATATAATACATGATGCACAAAAATAAGAAAGGCATTTCCTGTAAAATTCGGAAAGTATTCATCCATAACTAGATATATATTGCAAATGTTCGTAGGTCTATCTAACATAAAAAATGTGTTATATGTTACGTCAGATGTGAGAAGACAAGTGCTATTACTCTCTAACAGTTAACACTAACAGCTGAAGTTCGCATTAAAAGTACAAATAGTCACGTTGATGCAGTGTTGTTTCAGCCTGCATTGACAAATTATTCGAGCTTGCAGCTACCCATAGGTCATATTCATTAGTTACACCTACAAACCTCTCACAAACACTATATTAAAAATACAAAAATTTGAAAAAAATCTCATTCTTTGGTCGAATTGGAGAGGCGAAATCACGAAACAGTTTGGTGAAAGCCTCCGGGAAGCCAGTCAGCCAACCGACGTGTCTTCTCTCGATGAAAGCAAGAGTAAGAATGGGTACATGAAATGTCCGTACAATGTACGAGACTGAGAAGGCTGTCCAGGTAGCCAAAGAGATGCAAAGATATGGCTTAGAAGTACTGGGTATCTGCGAGAGCAGATGGAATGGTTACGGATTGTCAAAATTGTCAACGGGAGAGTCAATAATCTACTCCAGCCACCCAGACGACAACCACAAACACACTGAGACAGTGAGTGGCTAACATGATGTCAGCGACATCAGCCAAAACCCTAATGCAGTTGGAACCAATTTCCTCTTGCAGGATCATGACAGCAAGATTCAACTCAAAAGGAGGGGAGGTCACAATTATCCAATCCTACGCACAGTGCTACAAACAACGCGGAACAAGAAAAGAAGGAGGATTTCTACAGACAACTACAAACAGTAATTGGTAACATTGCAAGTGGTGACATCACAATCTTCATGAGCGATATGAACGCCGAAGTGGGAGCACATAATGCAGGAAGAGAACTCATCATGTGTTGAGAGGCTCTCGCTCGCTCAGGGAAGTGAATGAGAACGGAGAATTACTCGCAGACTTCTGTTCTTTCACCGATTTGGTGATTGCAGGCAGCGTGTACAAGCACAAGGATACACACAAAGCAACATGGATTTCGTCTGACGGACACACCACAAACAAGATAGCCTTCATCTCAAAGCTGCTCAAGGAAGTGGAGACGCTACTAGCCTGCTGGACACGAATTCGAGAAGGGGAACAGATGTGGGCTCAGATCATCATCTGATTCAAGGAACCTTCAAGGTGAAACTGAAATCCATGAAAACAACTGGAAACAGACCATAATGCAAGTTCAATATTCAGAAACCGAAGGACAAAACTACAAGGGATGGCTTCACTGCAGATCAGCTCAGAGCAAGGTCAGACACACTACATGGCATCACTGAGAAAACCTGCGTGTAAGAACATTGGAACTAACTCTCTGAAATCGATATTCGAGGAAACGTGTGCAACTGTTCTAGGAAGAAGGAAGAGACAAGACAAGAAATGGCTGTCAACGGATACCTGGAAGCTAACAGAGGAGAGGAGAGGAGAGGAAGATGGTGAAAGAAAAGGTGACTACTCAATGCAAGGATGGACAACAGCAGGAGGAGCTGAGTTCAATGCACACTGCACTGAATAAAGAAGCGAAGAGGAGGGCTAGGAAAGACAAACGACAATTCTACGGCACACTGGCCGGCAACTGAAGCAGAACAGGCCGCAGGCAAAAGAGATATCAGGACATTATATCAGATAACCAAGTCTCTATCTGGGAAGAGATCAACCTAGATGATGAAACCAATAAAAGATTTTCAAGGGAACCTGATCACCACGTAAAAGAAACAAGGAAAATCCGACTGATCACTTCAAAGTAGCTTTAGAGCCTTGAATAGACCATCACTTCAACTCCTCCAAAAATACCAACAACAACAAACGCCGATGTACCAATGGTCACGAATACTCCAACAAAAGCAGAGGTCTCAAGTACGATCCAGCAGCTGATTCGAGAAATGAATTGGACAGAGCTGAGCAAAAAGTAATTTAGAGACTACTTCAACACTACGGCGCGCAGCACCCAAATCTTTATCAGACTTATTCAACAACAGGCTAAAGGGCAATTTTACGTGTCAGGTGACTCACATCAGAAAACTCAGCGAGTTGTTTGAAGTGAATAAGGGAGTAAGACAAAACAGACTGCCTATTTCCACCGATGATATTCCTAATCGTGGTTGACTGGATTATGCGTGATACTGTGCACAAGGAGTGAGAAGACAGGAATATTCTGGACTGATGATAAGACTCTGGAAGTTCTGAATTTCGAAGATGATATATTTCTAATGTCACACAAACTCGAAGACTCGCAGGCAGGCGAAAAGCAACAAAATGGTTGAAGAATCAGCCAGAGAAGGCAAGACTCCAGGTGAAGACGGAGGCGATGTAGATAACCAACAAACAGCAACAACCTGCACCAATCCCCATCAATGGGAGAAGTTTGAAAGCGATAACTTCTATCACTTATCTAGGCAGACAGCATCGTCTCAACTACAGGTGACACTGATGAGGATGTCGAGGCCAAAATTGTGAAGGCGAGATAGACCATTACTCTCAAACCAGCCTGGAAATCTTCTGCAATCAGCCAGCATAAAGAACAAGATCCCGATTCTCAACACAAATGTGAAGTCAGTCAGTCAGTTCTCCTATACGGATCAGAATTTTGCATTGCGTGTCACGAAAAGCATTCTCAACAGGCTGCTGCAGACTTTTATCAACAGCTACGTTCGCTGGCTCCATACTGAATATCAAACGGCAGGCCAGAAAGGATTGGCAACAAATCAACCAAGAACCTGTTGCTCAACAAATATGTAGGAGAAAATGGAGACGGATCGGGCATACACCACTAAGGAGGCTGTTGAATAACAACGTGTGCAATGCAGGCCATTGTTCGAGTGTATCCCCAGAAGGAAATGACGAGCTGGGCGTCGGAGGATAAGATGGAGGAGATCACGCAAAGAGAAGATGAGAGATTATGGACAATCATGGGCTCAGCTGAAGAAGATGGTAAAAAATAGAACAAACTGGAGATGTGTTGCTGAAGCCCTATGTTCCACTCGGAACCCAAGGCAATAACAATAAAAAGTACACCCACAACAGACGAATAGGCTTGGATAAGTTAGT